TGGGAGTATGGAGGTATTCCCAGTACAGATTTGTGCACAAGCATCTAACTTCCACCTGCTCGTCGCCACTGCCATGAGGTTACTCATCGCTCCACTGCTCAAAACGGCTCAACAGTTTACATCCTACTCAAAAGTGGACATCAGTTTTCATTGATGGTATCACAACTGTTGACTGCAAATCACTCTTGAATGTTTTTAATCTACCCCCATGGGAGAGTTAAATGACAAAAGCATAAGGCAGGATTAACTGTTTCTGCTCCTCCTCCACAGCAGCTACCATCAGGGGACCATCGCTGCCCACGGCAGGCTCCTCCTAACTCTTCTTGCTGCACGGCGTTTTCCCACTTCTCAGCCTGGAAGATCTTCATCTCCCCTGCGCCTTCTCAGCCCCTCCCAGGGCAGTCCTTCACACCTCATTATCGCCCAGAAGCGTCCCCAGGTGGATGTCTCAACCTTGCCTCTGCAGCCTCTTGACCTCCCGGCCTCCCACTCTCCCACTTCACCTTTCTCTAATCTGCACCAACAGCCAGACCCTGGGCCTGACACCACCCAACTGGCTCTGGCTTCACGTCCACGCCAGCAATGGCTTCGCCTGCTGCGACATGAGCCCCCATCCCTGCCTGTCCCTCCCTGCCCTCACCTCGTGGACCAACCGCCCATCTGCCTTCTCCTCTCTCGTCCCCAGCTTCTGAGTGCCCCAGAGTACATGTAACTGCAGGCTGGTTCCGCCACAGATCTTCAGCGCGCAGTCCAGCAGGGCCCTCAACCCTGCTCGGCAACCCTCCCACTCCGTGTCCCTCCCGCTGCCCCATTCTCCTTCTGTCCATTCGCAAGACACAGCCTTCTCCCTTTTTAGAGTCCATTAGGCATTAATTTGCCACCTTCCTTCCCTCCTACCTTAAAGCTTTCCGTACTTGCACCAATCCTCACCTCCACCCCTGCCTTGCAGGAAGGGTGGCTCCCCCACCTCGCACGGCTTATGCATCCACCCATCCTCCAGGTCACACCCTCTTCCACCTGCTCAGGGTCTGGCTCCTATGCCCCTCCTTCCTACACCTTCTCCCTCGGGAGAGAGGTGTGCTCAGGCCCCTCGTGTTCAGCGGTGACCATGTCATTGCTCTGAGCCCCTCAAGCCACAATCCCGCATCACCCTTCTCTCCCTGTTTCACAGACATGTACCCCCTACACTCCCATCTCTGCTTTCTCACCCACCACTCCAGCCTGCCCACAGGACCTGGCTTCCATCTCACAGTGCCGGTGGCCACCTGCTAAGTGCAGGCAGAGAGCGCATTCTAGATCTCGTCTCCCTGGCCTCAGCTGTGGTGTTCGCTGGAAGCTAATCCAGCCCAGGCATCCAGGTTGTGCCTTCCCGGGCCGCTGCCTCCACTCCGGAGTCTGCAGCTCTTCTGCATGCCCCTCTGTGGCTTCCCTTTATCTCCCACTCCAAACTACCCCCAAGAACTCCACCCCCAGCTAGTTGGCAGATCCAGGACTGGGAACAGGCAGAGGGCCAGGAGTCCATAGCCACAGAACACGAGGCAAAAAGAATTCAAGAAACCGCATCCGGAGCAAAGGCAGGATCAAGTGCCACGTGGTCAGATGAGGCACCAATGGGCAGGGCCACATAGAGGTGGAAACCCATTCCAGCATCAGGACCACAAGGGCACGAACCTGAGGCCAGAGAGATGCCAAGGAAAACAGAGCTGCCCTTATAGGATACCCAAAACCTTGCTTGCGGACAGAACAGGGGCATAAAAAGAACCCATGAGAGGAGGATTCTTGTCTTTGTTTTACATGGTTTGACGTTTCTGCCTTCTTGTGAAAACTCTGACCACAACAGCCCCACATTCTCACAAAGTGACAAGCAGTTGATGGAAGACCCCACAGGCACCTGAGCTGCCCACCTTCTCCAGGCCAGCTCCCGGGTGTCTCATCCACACACAGCTCCACCGACTACTGAGTTCACACATCCCCACTCGAAAACTCCAGCTTCCGTCTCCGTCTGCAGCCCGGGCCTGCGGGTCCCACAGGCATGTCTTAGTTGATTCTTTAACTTGTTATCAACAACCAAACCTGCTCCTCTGCAGGACTCCCCACCTCAGAGAAGAACTCTCGTTGGTGCGGTTGCTCCAGTACAATATTGGAGGAATAATAACTCTTCCAATCCATGAACACGGTATCTTTCCATCTACTGTATCTTTTTCAAGTTCTTTCATCAATGTTTTATAGTTTTCACTGTAGAGAGCTCTCACTTGCTTGGTTAAATTTATTCCTAAGTATTTTACTCTTTTTGGTGCTTTGGTAAATGGGATTTTTCTCTTAATTTCTTTTCCAGATAGCTTGTTGAGATTATGTGGAAACACAAGTGATTTCTGTATGTTGGTTTTGTAACCTGCAACTTTACTGAATTCTTCTATCCTAACAGTTTTTTGGTACAGTCTCGGGTTTTCTATATATAAAATCATATCATCTGCAAACAGATTATTTGACTTCTTCCTTTCCAATGTGGATGCCTTTTGTTTCTTTTTCTCATCTGGTTCCTCTTGTTAGGACTTCCAGCCTTATGCTGAATGTAAGTGGTACAAGTGGGGCACCTTTATCCTGTTTCTTAGAAGAAAAGCTTTCAGCATTTTACCGTTGAGTATGATGTTAACTGTGGGCTTGTCGTGTTTGGCTTTTATTATGTTGAGATATATTCTTTGTATACTAATTGGCTGAGAGCTTTGATCGTGAAAGGTTGAATTTTGTCCAGTGCCTTTTCTGTATCTATTGAGATGATCATGTGATCTCTTTCATTCTGTTAATAAAAGTGAGGTGTAAAGTTAGATTGTTTGAGATCTTTCTTTTTCCTTAATATAGGCATTTTTCGTTTCTTTTTTTTTTTTTTTTTTTTTTTTTTTTTTGAGAGTTTTGCTCTCGTTGCCCAGACTGGATTGCAATGGCGCAATCTCAGCTCACTGCAACCTCCACCTCCCAGATTCAAGTGATTCTCCTGCCTTAGCCTCCCAAGTAGCTGGGATTACAGATGCCCGCCACCATGCCTGGCAATTTTTTGTATTTTTAGAAGAGACAGGGTTTCACCATGTTGGCCAGGCTGGTCTTGAACTCCTGACCTCAGGTGATCCACCCGCCTCAGCCTCTCAAAGTGCTGGGATTACAAGTGTGAGCTACCACGCCTGACCAATATAGGCATTTTCTTTATAAAATTCACTCTTAGAACTGGTTTTGCTGAATCCCGTAAGTTCTAGTATTTATTTTCATTTTTGTTGCTCTCAAGATATTTTTTTATTTCCCTTTTGATTTCTTCCTTGACCCAATGGTTGTTTAGGAATGCATTGTTAAATTTCCACGTATTTGTGAATTTTCCAATTTTCCTCCTGTTACTGATTTCTAGTTTTGTATCATTATGGTCAGAAAAAATACTCGATATGATTTCAATCTTACATTTGCTAAGACTTGATTTGTGGCCTAATATGATTTATCCTGGAGAACGCTGTGTACACGGGAGAAGAATGTGTATTCTGCCGCTGGTGGACAGAATGTTCTGCAGTCTGTTAAGTCCATTGGGTTTATACTGTTATTCAAGCCCACGGTTTCCTTATTGACTTTCTGTCTGGATGATGTATTCATTGTTGAAAGTGGGGTACTGAAGTCGCCTCCTATTATTGTATTGCTGTCTACTTCTCCCTTCAGTTCTGGTAATACTTGCATATTATATATTTAGGTGCTCCAGTGATGGTTGCATATCTATTTATAACTGTTGTATATTCTTGATGGACCGACCCTTTTAACATAATGTGGTGACCTTCTTTATCTCTTGCTGCAGTTTTTCACATGATGTCAATTTTGTCTGAGGTAAGTCCAGCTGCCCCTGTTCTCTTTTGGTTTCCACTTGCATGGGACAGTTTTCCCATCTCTTCACTTTCAGCCTGTGCATGTGGTTAAAGCTGAAGGCCGACCCAGATTATCCTCACAGCCACCTGGCTCACAGCCCATCTCTCACCTCCCACCTTCAATCCATCATCACGATGGACGACCACCACTGTGAGCTTTCGTTCACACAAATGGGACCCACTGGCTGCAAGACAGCAAGCCCCTTGCCTGATCTGTAAGGTATTCATGGGACCTAAGTTCTGGCCTCGGGGCTGGCCGCTTCCCTCACAACAGTGCTGAATTCCTATGACGACACTGTGGTGTTTCCTCAACACACTCTGCTTGTTTGTGCCTCATCGACGGTCACAACCATAATCACAAACCCATTTCATGCCTACTATGCACTGAGTGTTATGCTAAGCACTTTACACATATTAGGACCCTTGGAAGTAGGTATTATTATTTCCAGTTTTCCAGATGACAAAACAAGCATCGAGGAGTTAGGAATGTGCCCGAGGTAACAGAGACACCCACAGCGGAGAGATTTGCTCCATGTCGAACCCCCAAGCCCATGCTAGAAGCCATTACACACACTACCTCCCTCCCACGTGCTCTTCTGTCCCATGAAATTCATTTCCCCCATCTCTGCCAAGACTCAATCCAAACACCAGCTCCCACAGGCCTGGCTCCTCCAGACCAACTGGGAGGCCTCATTATATATATATATATACACACACACACACACATATATACACACACACATATACAGACACACACACACACATATATATATATACACACACACCAACTGCAGTATTCTAGCAACTTGAAAGGTTGGCCCACTCAGTAGGGGTTTCAGGGAGCAAGACTCCTTTTTGCAATGCTGTATTCTCCACCCCTAGCACACAGTAGATGCTCAATGGTTTGCTGAATGAATAAATGAATGAGGCTGGTTAAAAGTAAGTATAAAACCAAGATTGAAAAAATACTATCTGCTTGAAGAATGAAAATTAAGAGTTTATGGTGAATCATTTTAGACCTTGCTGGTCCAGGCAGAAAACTCTCATAGAAAAGAATAAACACAAGCTGCCGCCCCCTGGCTGCTCTATAGGCGAGAGTCTCCTTACTTCCGAACGCCTCCTAGAGGGAAGACTTTTTCTCCGATCGTGGCCAGCACGATGTCCCAGTCGGACAGACTAAATTTGGGTATAATGATTTTTGCAGGTGGAATAAATAATCTTCCATTTGTAAAAACACTGTAAGGATAAAAAGAAAAGCATCCATTAATACGTTAAGTTTCAGGGGAAAACACTGAAAATTCAATATATATATAATTAAAGAACTGTAAAAACAATGGGATGCACTAAGCAGCCTCCAATACTACATATCATGCCCTATTGAGGACTTTATCAAGCTGTACAGAATGTCACAGAGCCTGGTGACAGGTGTGTGTGTGTGTGTGTATATATATATATGGTTTTGTTGTAGATGAAAACCACAACAGTGGGCTACAGAAAGTGAAGGTGCCTTAAGGTTAACAGTGGTTGTGAAACCGGGAAAGTTCCCTTGTCCCCCTCGCAGAGCATGCGATGGGGGTGTGGCTCGCTTTTTCAGTGCCCCACTGCTCAAACTTCTAGGGGGCGCATACAGACCGGCAGGCTGTGGGGCTCCAACTCCACAGTTGTGACATTCTGGGCAGCTTGATAAAAATGTGGGCATTTTATAAAATCTAAAATGCCCAGATGAATAGAACATAACTCCACTTTTTATAAAACATGTCTCCCACTACTATAATGGGTAAAATGAAAGAAAATTGTGTCCATTTGGAAAACAGGCAGACAATTTTGCCTTAAATAATGTAGCTGCTTTCCCTTTCTCGGGAGCCAAGATCATCTCCCAAAGAAAATAACATGTATTCCTTTGAAAAGTTAATAGGAACCGCTTATTTCACTCCTGAGTTTTAAGGCAACTTCAGTATAATCTTAGGGGTGTTAGTTTATTGTTTCTATGTATTGAGGGAGAGGAAGTGCTTAGAAGATTTTCAAAACCCAACACAAAGTTAGTAGGGTTCATGAGACTATGCCGTAATCAAAGACACATGCAACAGTTTCAATCTCTTGTAATTCCCATTAAAATAATGTAAAATACAAGATGTATTGTTTAAGTCTAAAAAGAATAAATGATATCCTTGATATCCTTTAACAATAAGTAAGCTCAACTTTGCAATTCTGGTTAATTTTTTTACATTATAATTTACTGTTACTGCCATTTTTTCTTTTTCCTTAAATGCAAATTACTTAGAATTTGAGAAACATCTCTCTTTAGAGTAAATATAAATCTTAATTGAATATGTTTGTCACAATAAAGAGAATCTATTTTCTCTGCTAAGGTTTTGTGGCAAAAGAGGCTTCCAATCAACCCAGAGTCCAACTTATTCCATATTTAAGATGCTACCCACAAGAAGTCATAAAAAGAAATGTTCTATGCAAGTTATATCAGAGTTTATCCATGTGCTATTACAATTACAATAAAGATTTGCTACAATGTTTTCAACTATTGGTTTTCCTAACTGGTTTAGGCTGCGAGTTTTTCTAAATATAGATTACTAAGAGGAATAAAATAATAAATGTTTAAACAAGGTCTTGCTATATTTTGTCTCGATTTTTAAGAAATTTAATTTAGAGTCTTATCCTGAGTATTGAGAAACAGGCACACCAACCCACTGCTGATGCAGCTGAAAATCAGCACAGCCTTCCTGAAGAACACTTGGGCAAAATAGATCAATGTAATATAACGGATCAATAACCACTGACCCACTCATCCCGCACCATGAAATCCACCCCACAGGAGAGTGGACAAAGATTTAGAGGTGAAGGTCTTTCTCACAGAATTATGTATGAAGTCAAAAATATAAAATGTCTAAGTATGGAAGACTGGTTAAATAAATTATGCCACAGCCACACCATAAAGTATACAGCCATTAAAATTTGTTTATGCAGAATTTGTATCTACAGGGGAAAAAGGGTCAAATATAATTAATGTCATAGACAAAAACCACAACAGTGGGCTACAGAAAGAGCACTAGGAGTGAAGGTACCTTAGGGTTAATAGTGGTTGTGAAACAGGAAAGTTCCCTTGTCCCCCTCGCAGAGCGTGCGATGGGATGTGGCTCGCTTCTACAGTGCCCCACTGCTCCAACCTCTAGAGGGGCATACAGACGGGCAGGCTGTGGGGCTCCGACCCCATGGCAGTGTCTAGGGGTAAACGTTTCCAGCTCCTGAAGCCCCAGGGAGGGTGTGTTACAGGCTGCTCTTTGAGTTTAGCCGTAGGTGGCTTGTGTTAATCAGCTCAATTAGACCCCTGCCTTGTCGCAAAGACAAAGGGCTTTGTATCCTGGGTTCCGGCCTTGGCGTACCAGAAGAATTGGACCATATGTGCCCTTGGAGAATGAGTGCAAGGTTTCAATGAGTGCAAGTAGCTCTCAGCAGATGGGGGAGCCAAAAGGGAGATGGTTTTTCCCTGGAATCAGGCCTCTCAGCACCCCAAGGCTCCTCCAACTGCCCCAGCCAAACTCCGTGCTGGTCTGCCTTTGGTGGCCTGCCGGTGTGCGGGTGCCTGTTGGTGCGTCCCTCTTGACGCACCACTTGTGTGTTCCTCCACCGATGTGCTCCTCTCGACGTCCAGCCATTGCTGTCTCTGCCTTGCTAGGGTCTCGAGTTTTTATAGGCACAGGATGCGGGCATGGCAGGCCAGGGTGGTCTTGGGAAATGCAACATTTGGGCAGGGAAACAAAAATGCCTGTCCTCACGCAGGTCCCCTGGGTGGAGCCCTAGTCAGGGACCACGCCCTACTCTCCCCAGCACTTCCCTTCCCCCTTCTGTATCGTTTAAAGGGGCCACACTCTTCCCTTCCCAGCACTTCTGTATCAGTTGTCTCTGAGGGATGGGATAACTGCAGATTTTTATTTTATTCTTTAAGCTTTTCTAGATTTCCGCATTTTTATAATAAGCCTGTAAATACAAAAACCTGTAAAATTTTTTGAATTTTTAAGATAAAGAGAAGAAACAATAATCTCTGATTTATAAACTGGGAAATGGCAAGTTCAGAGGGAGAAATGGACTTCACACATCTCTAAAAGTTTGCTGGTTGAGCTGAAGAATGAACCTAGACCAATATCACCATGCTGGGTTTGGGGCCCGTGTTGTTCAGGCAGAGATGATCCATCTTCCAGGTAGCTGAATGAACAACTCCATCTAAAACACCCAGAAAACAGTTTCCCTGAAAGTCTGTGGTAGGTTGTAGATGGGCACATATCAAATCCCATCACTGGCAAATAAACACTGGTACATGTGAATTTTTGAATACCTGGTACTCATTTTTGAAAGCACAATTTATATATGCTGATAAAAAAAAAATATCCAAGATAAATTGGGTGGTTACAAAAAAATGAAGGTACACAACAGTGCATGCAGTACACATATACCTATAAACGCCTGACCACGCACGGCGCATCCTAGGAAGAGACCAGAAACTGTGACGCTGGTTCCCTCTGGGAGAATCACTAGAGAACTAGTGATATAAACCAAGAGACTTTTTTTTTTTTCCAGATAGACCAGTGGAAAAAATTTATTGCCCTTGGAGTGGGATGCTGAATACATCTCATCATATAGTTCATCTCAATTTAATTTCATTATCTCTCCTCTTTCTTCACACTTTGAATTTTCCTCAACTCTCTGCCAACAAAAACTTGCAATCTGATAGAGAAGTTGCACATACAATTATCTGTAATATAAATCAAACCCTTTGACAAGGGAGGAAAAACAAACATTAATTCTCTTTTTACTTTACTTCAATCTCATTGCTCAAAATGAATATTCAAAAATCAGGCATTTATCCAATCTGCCATTAATGTGAAACACATTGATGTGAACTGTCAATGGTGCACCAAATTATTTATTTCTTAACAAATAGCATCAGTTCAAATGTAGATTTTACTACTTATCGACTTATTTTTCTAACAAATTAGCAGTATTGGCAGGCTGAAATTAATTTTTTTTTTTAAAAATTTTATTTTGGGAGACTTACTTTAAATGTGTATCTCTTAAAACTATATATTCACCATGGGCACGAGTCACTCTATTAAATAAGATGGTTTAAATAAAAACTCTGAAGAGAAGTTCAAAAGCCATAAAATTACTTTGTCAATGCACCTGTTCCTGCGTTGCTAATTAATTTTTAATAGTAAATGGGGGGGGAAATAAAACATTTTAAACATTTTAAATAGAAAATATTTCAGATTGTTTAAACTGGGAAGTAGCATATGGGTCCAGGAATGGGTTTTGGTCTGGTGGGTTGGCAATGACAGCTGCCGTTTGCTCAGCACTGGCCGTGCACACTTTATAGAGTCGTCTCTGACCTTTCCAGCAAATCAGTAGAGCAAGTTCTGCTCCCCCGTGACACAGATGAAGAAGCTGGGCCTCAGAGAGGTTAAGGGGCTTCCCCGGGCCCCATGGAGGCCACATGGAGAACCAACGACCCAGCCCAGCTCCACCCGACCCTAATGCCCGCTGTGTTCCTTCCCCTGCATCCACTTCCCTCCACCCAGTTTTCTGTCTTCTCTGTTGAAAAGCAACGTAGAAGGCACCAGAAATGTGCTGCTTCACTCTGAAATACATCGATGATGGTAGGTGGGAAGAAAGCCAGGGTCGTTTTTGTTTCTGTTGCCACGCTGTCTTCAAATAGCCATGACCCGCTGCAGTCGGGTAGTAAACGGGCCATGAGGACATTGTGACATCCTAGACTGGTTGCCTGCACCCTCCCCTCACCCTGGGGTGAAGGTCGCCTAATGCTTGCTCCCAAGAACCAGGTCAAGTTCCAAGCTGAGTTGAATTGAAAAGTTCTGCACATTTGAAATCAGAAGCCATGGTCTCCAGGGCTGATTCCAGAACTAAATAGCTGTATCACTGGACCTGTCATTCCCCCGACTGAACTGTGGGCTGTCTGAGGACAAGCCTGCATCTGAGTCTCTCGGTCTCCCCAGGGCCTGGCGCCTGGGGGCACTCAATCAAATCTGGATGGGCGGTGGCGAGGGGTACATGGATGAGATGGAGGCATCAGGGATCAAATGAACAGACGAAGGGCCTTACTGTCTTTTGGCCTCTATCTTCCATTTCCGAAACTGGAATAGGACTGCCTGCCTTATCTGCTCCACAGGCTTATAATGAAGGGAAAAGGAGGTTATGGGCATTCTGATTTG